GCCAACCGCACTGCCTCTGACACACCCATCCTGATTACCCCAGTCACCGAATCAATCCATCTCATAGAGGGTTGTACTTAAGTAAAAAAAAAAAAAGAAATGAAGCATTTGTATATTTCATCTTATAAACATGGCAACATTGTCTAATTAACAATTGGTTTCCAGTGTTTGCTATAATAAATAGCACTAAATGAGCAAACTGCTGGAAATTGTTTATTCACCTATTCCATATTCTTGAGGGAACTCAGGGGGGCCTAGTCTACTCACTGCTACCCAAATCCATCAGCAGCTCACCTGGAGGAAAATGGACCATCTCCTCCTGAATGATTTACAGCCTCTGAAAACCTGCTGAAGGGTCAGCTATGAATTGGTTCCAACTCCAGGGCAGTGAGTTGAGTCAGAGACTAAATTCTTGGAGCCCAGGTGGCACAGTGTATCAGGCTGCTGACTACAGTGAACAGATTGGATCCACCAGCCATGGGACAAAGATCTATTCCACTCGATGGGAGAAAGATGTGCAGTCTTTTTCCGTAAAGATTTATAACTTTGGAAAACTAGCGGAGAGTCACTATGCATTAGACCCATTTAACGGAGATGAGTGGGTGGTACCATGGTCCTACAACTGGCTTTACTGGTTCAGAGGACACCAATAGTATTGCCAAAATTCCCTCTGAAAGGATTGTGTCAATTTAAGATCTCTCAAACAAAATAAGAAAATGTGTGTGTTCACTATAATTATCATTATTGCTCATTATCAGTTTCAGGCAAATAAAAAAAAACAATTCCTTAATACTAAACAACTTTTAGAGGCTTTAACAGGATTTTTTTGGACAGAGATTTGCTTTAGTAGCTGCCCTGTGATTGTTCACTTTCTACACTGTTCTGTTTACTTTCCGCATTTATGGGGCTATTTTACATTACTGGAATATTACATCAAAGGTAAGAGAGTCATATCTTGACATTTTCTTAAGCAATGTTATCTCTAAACAGTTATGATGATAATGGGAAAGAAATAGAGCAAACTTGTGAAACTTGTTGTTGTTAAGTGCCGTGGAGTTGTAGATGACTCATAGCGACCCTATGAATGAAAGACCTGAACACTTGTATAACTTCCATCGTTTCTCCAAGTTTCATAGAGTTTCTGGAGGCAAGCTATTTCGGAAGTGGATGCCACTGCTGCTTCCAAGCTTGTTTGAATCAGGGAGCTCCACCAAACACTGTCCGCCATGAGTAACCATTATCGCTTTTGACATACCGGTGTCACACTGTTTAGCATCACAGCAACCACAACTCCAATAGGCTCCAATTGTAGGGATAGGAAAGTGCTAAGGCTGTACCCTGTCAAAGGTGGAAAACTCATGAGACCTGGAAGAACAAGGCAGTCTTGGCAAGAGCATCTGGAAGTAGTTGGAACCCCAAATCACAAGTTTCACTGTGTAAACCCTACCAAAAACTCGAGTCACCACCCAGTTTGTCCTGAAGGCGTTTCCAGTGTAAGAAAATCTTCCATTCTCCTTCTTCCTTTGCCTTTGAGAAGGTTACTGTTTTAGAGGTCTGGACTTCTTCTGAGTGCCTGAGTCGCAACTAAACATCTTAAGGAATAAGCTTTTCCATATCGAGGGTTGCATGGAAAGTATTTCTGGCATTTATACTCCAGTTTGGGACTGTTGTCCATTTGGCTAGCATCTCAGCTTCAAAGTGTTCGCAATGGGATGGTCAAAAATAAGCATGTTTATTATTTGGTGCATTCTTTGTTGACTTTAGGATCCTGAGAGGAGCCACTTTGTCTTAATCGCTGGAGAGCCTCTGGGAGAGCCAATTGTCCAACATGGTAAGCGCCAAATGATGGTGTTCTGGATGGTGTTTCTTTTTCTTTTCTTGAAAGCAGTATACAAGTATACTATTACTGGAAGGAAACACTGGGCTTCTGTCCTATCTCAAGACCTACAGATTTGAAGGGGTGCTTTCATTTCTCCGTTGTCAGGAAAATGTCTACATGGCGTGCATTTCTGTGTTCATTGATTCTCTTTTAGGAACCAGTTTTTCCTCTTTTTCTTCTGGCTCTACCCTGACTTTCCAGGAGTGTTTCCACCTTTCTTCCTCCCTTTTTTCTTTACTTTTTCACATGGCCTCTTTCTGTCTTTCATCAGCCACGACTCCATTTTATTACCTTGTTGTTAGGTGCCAAGTCAACCACAACCCATAACGACAATAGCTATGAATAGCTCTGAACCTTGCCCTATCCTGAGCCAACCTCACCATGTCTGACACACCTGATCCCACTGCCACAGTCGCTGTGTCATTTCACTTCGTCCAAGGTCTTCTTCTCTTGTGCTGTCCCTCCACCCTTCCAAGTATGATGACTTTCTCTAAGGACTAGTCCCTCCTGGAGACATGCCCAAAGTGTGTGAGATGGAGCTTCAAAATCCTTACCTCCAAGGAGCAGCCTGGTTTCACCCTCTCCAGGACAGATCTGTTTGTTCATAAACCCTCTTTCACTTCTTTTGCTAAATTTTTTTTTAAAAAAAGAAAGAACCAGGTCTTAAATGCCTACTATGTATGAGACATTGTGCTTGCAATTCTATGGAAAACAAACAAACAAACAAATTTTTCTTTTTTGCCTTACCAGATGTTGTTGTACCCTGGGATTCGAAGGTCATTTTTAACTTTAGAAAGAAGACAAAACAATGGATTTATTCCCATTCTTGTAGTCCATTATGTTTCCAATCTGTTTAAGTAATTCGTTGTTTATTTAAAGACAAATCAATAACTGTGGGAGAGTAGAAAGAGGCCTTCCATAGAGGTACAAAATCCCAGAAGAGTCATTTCAATCCTTTGACATCTGGCTTCCTTCCTTATTATTCTTTGAGCAAACGAGGAGCTTCTAGAAGTGCCTGGAATCCAATTTCTTATGTAGATAATGATCTCAAAGAAATAACATAGATTAATTTCATTAATAGCCAAATTTAACATTATTAAAATTCAATTGTGTTTTCTCATTTTGCATTCATTTCCAGGGACATGAAATTATTTTGGGGTGGGGGAGGGAGGGAACACAACAAACCACCCAAACAAACACAATAACTCCTGCTAATGATTTAGAGAATATTGACTGGTTTTGCATGTTCCTCTTTTCTGCCCTATTAATAAGTGAAGGGAGAACATTCCATCATAGTTCATCTGCCTGCAGCATTTGACCGCCATCTTGCGTGTTTCTGATTTTCACTCCAAAAGTTCATGGTTCTTGACTACTTCTCTCTTGATGGACCAGCACAGTTTCTGGGAGAAACCTGTAGACAAGCCACGTCCAGTTTCTTCATAATCCTTATTAATGGTGACTGGATGTAAGATGGGGAAAGGATGTGTGTCTTTGGTGCTTATCCTTGGGTTGACAGCACGGTTCTTTATCACGAAGCTGCCAGAGTTCCCTAGATATTCAAATATTTCCCTGGGCAATGCAAACCCTTAAGAGCTCAATCTCAGCTGCTCTTAGAAAGATTGAAAGTTTGAGTCCACTCCTGATGGTCTACTTGCATAAAAGCACAGTCTTGAAAACCCTATATAACACAGTTCTGCTCATACACATGGGTTAGATGGCAACTTTCTTTCCCCCCCGCCAAGAAATACTTGCTAGACATGTGATGGATGGATGGATGGATGGATGGATGGATGGATGGATGGATGGATGGATGGATTTAGATGCCTTCTGCAGATTTTCCTTTCCCCTTGACATCCACTCCATTCTCTGTAACTTCCTCAGAGGCTTCCCATCATCAAGACATAACATCCTGTCTTATCTTTCTAGAGTTTCAAACTAAATCTGATCTGTGCTGTTGGCCACGGTCAAGAAGTATGAATGCATCTTCCTCCTAAGTAGTACAACAAAGACTCTTCACAGGAGTGACTTCCTGAATGAAATGCCAGGAACTTCTGCCGCCTGATGGGCACATAGTCACTTTCTTTCCCCATGCCGCCAGTGCCCCCAATAAAAGCTGGCTGGTCTACCCCACAGATGGCAGGAATGATCTTGTCCAGGGCTGGACCACTTTGCCTCTGCCATATGTGAAGGACAGGGAAGATGCAGACACTTTTGTCATCTGGCAGATCAGAGGGGGAAATGTGGCATGTGCAGTCCCAGGTACTACGTAAACTGGATCACACGCCACAGGATCTAACCACCACCATCACCACCAGACCTATTCAAGACATCCATATTGCAGTCCTCGGGGGGCAGAACACTGTAAAAACAAACTCTGGTTGTTCAGATATGCCTGGGTGTATTGCTTCATCACCATGCCATTTCTACTTCTTCTCGTTGTTGTTGTTCTGTGCCATTGAGTCAGCTATGACTCCTAGTGGGAAATGGTGTCATCAGTCAGAACTTTCTGAATGTCTCTTTTTCCCCTTGCCCCAGGTCCGTTCGTGATGAACACTGATGAAGAGATTGCACAAGCCATTCTGGATTTCAGAAATGCCAAAAATGGCTTTGAAAGGGCCAAAGTCTGGAAGTCAAAGATTGCAAAGTAGTGAAGTTCCCAAGCTTATGTGGCTGGTCTTTCTAGAGCATTCCAAATGAACATGGTAACATAACACGGTCTAGATAATCATGCATCTGTAGTTATTTCCTGGCACAAACCAATAAACTTAATTGTTGCCTCTTAAGAAAAATGCGTGTTTTTCCATTTTTACCTGTCACTAAACCTCTGTTTAAGAAAAAGAGAAATGATGGTGTCCCAGGGTGCATTTTCAAGTATGTATGGAGTTGTGACTTCTGTGCTGCTGGCATTTGCTAGGCTGGTTTGATTGTTTCTTGAGTGTCACTGGCAGTAAGTGTGTGGCTGTGAGCCCTTCCTGAGTTCAGTGATAAAGTCAAGACTGCGTGCTGGGGTTTCATGTTACAGGTTATCTGCTTTTAAAAAGCCGAAGGCCAGCGTTTTGCAGACCATTTTCAAACAGCCCCGCGATTCGTAGGGACGCCGCAGGATCACAGCCAAGACTTGCCTGTGTTTTCAGCCAAAGTCTGTGTCAGATTTAAGACACATGCTTCTGGGAGCTGCCATGAAGGTTATGAAAAACTTTTTATTGTTTTAATCCAAAATTAGGTTGAGGTTTTCTGTTGCTCCAAACCTTGGTAGCTGCGCTGCCTCCTCACAAAGGAACCGGGACCCAGGGCGGAGGGTGGGGAAATGTTTTAAATTGGCTGGACGTGAAATGGACCGAGGGTGAGTCACCGATGCAGGTAGAAGATAACGTGCGTGTCTTGATTCTTTTTTGAGAGCGTGAGAATATTGTACACTTTTTTCCAATCTCGTTCTCCCACTCCTCCAGGAAGATCGTGCAAAAGTATACCTTGCCTAACTGTATGCCTTTCATTGGGTTTTGATCACAGTTGTTTGGGGTGTTCTGTTTTGGTTTTGTTTTTTTTTTCATTCCGTTTGTTTTCCCCACGTGAAGTCTGGGGTTTTCAAACTTTCTTTCTGCAGAAGAGATGCCTTTTGAAGCAACTTTTTCTGGCTGCTTGATGTCAACTGCTTGCTGAACTGTAGCTCCTGAGACACTCAAAATGTACCGACAGTGGGCACTGGTGAACGTTTTCATAATGTTTTGCCTGCACCTGATAAAGGGCTCCAGTTATGAATACAAACCAACCAAGGTAAGTGGGTACAATTTGTAATGGGATGAGAACGTTTTTCTTTAACATCGGCTTATCTGGAGACCTTTGCCCCCCCCCCACTATCCTTGGAACAATCTAAAAATGTGTTCTTGGTGGGTAGGTCATATCTTGAGCTTATTAGTCACTGCTGTGGTTTCGGCGTGCTAGAATATTCTTGACCTGGGAGCCTGAAAGTTCTGTGGATTTCTCTGGACTGGTAATAGACCATAAATATTCTGGAAGTTCCCCCTTGACTGTATGGACAAATGGCACAGAGGGTAATTTTTTTAAGGAAGCACTTTTAGGTTTTTATAACACAGATAACTTTGCGGGTGATTATGTCTGTCTCCTGTTAAGAGTCTCCCGCCTTGGGAACCCAAGGGAGGGTCTCTATGAGAACTCAACTTGATGACAGTGGCTCTTCGGGGGATTATGTTCAGGGGAGGTTTGAGCAGTAAAGCTTTATTTAGTTGCTTTATTTCTTCTGAAAATCCACAATAATAATGTCTATTCTGCAGATGTCTTTGATCTGTTTCACAGATTGCTCTTTGCCATCATCTAGAGAAATGTTTCCTTGGATGTTGTTTTCTGTTATTTTTGGAAACGCATGTAAAATTTAACAGAAACCAAACCCATCATTCTTTAATTCTGTGAGCAAACATCAGAGGCAGCCCAATGAATTGAGAAAAATGTGAAAATAATGAACTGGGATATTACTGCTACCTAGAGGACTGTTTTGCCCAGAATTATACCTTTCGTAGGGCACATTAAGTTTCTTTTTAAGCTCTTCACTATGACAATGATTCAGATCTATCCTGTTGCCCAAACTGCTGCAAAGTCATTGACTTGGCATTTCTGACCATGGACTGGCAAGCAAAGGTGGACTTGAGTTTCTATAGCTGTTAGGACCTGAGTTTTCAACGGGGGTGACAGCGCCACCCATGGGGGAAAGTTGGTATTTGACATACAGGGTGGGAAAAATATATTCATTTTCTCTCTAAAGCATAGATATGCATAAAGTTCTTGAAAACATGTACAGTCTATGAATGATACTAAAATTTAATGGGATGGCAGTTGAGGGGAAATGTCACAAAAGGCTTCCAGGGGCGGAGAGATGGGTAATGATGACAGGTGAGCAACACTGAGGGGTGGGGGGCTATGCCCAGCAGTCCCCAGCATCCCACCACTTTAAATTCACAATGTACTGGGAGAGCGAACTCCCTGACATTCCAACTTCCAACACCCACATCTCACCCTCACCAGCCTGGCTGCTGGCCTTCAACGCCCCCACTTAGGTCACAGGACGAGGAGAAAAGAAAGATTTTTTTTTTAAAGCCTGACTTGTTTGTGGCAAAAAAAAAGAGTTTTCGGTTTGTTCAGCAGTTCTTGTTAAAGTCTACAAAACTCATTGATGCTCATGTCCTGAACTCAAGGAGCTTGAAAAGGTTCATTCTCATTTTGCAGTTTAAAACACCAGTTACCGGCGGCCGGGTTTGCATTCTGGAAACATGGCGGCGGCGAGGGGCTGCTGGCGGGGGCTTGTGGGGGCCGCAACACTGGCCCGGGGGGCCAGGCGACCCTCGGCGCTGCTGCTGCCAGTGAGGAGGGAGAGTGCCTCGGCTGACACGCGCCCCACTGTCAGACCTCGGAACGATGTGGCCCATAAGCAGCTCTCAGCTTTTGGAGAATATGTGGCTGAAATCCTGCCCAAGTATGTCCAACAAGTTCAGGTGACTTGCTTCAATGAGTTAAAGATCTATATCCATCCTGATGGAATCATCCCAGTGCTGACTTTCCTCAGAGATCACACCAATGCACAGTTCAGATCCTTGGCTGACTTAACAGCAGTGGACATCCCAACCCGGCAAAACCGTTTTGAGATTGTCTAAAACCTGCTGTCCCTGCGTTTCAACTCTTGGATCCGTGTGAAGACCTATACAGATGAGCTGACACCCA